GGGGGAAGCCGAACTTTCAAGGCAGGTGGACTGGGAAGACAGGTCTACGCCCGGTGGTTTTGGGGGGCGATTCGATGAGGGACCTACCTAACGCATTAAACACTCCGCCTGGGGAGTACGGTCGCAAGGGGGGGGGGGAGAGGGGGAAGCCGAACTTTCAAGGCAGGTGGACTGGGAAGACAAGTAACATCTACTAGGAAGGATTGGGCTGCCGGCCAGTTGAGTAGTGAAGCGAGTGGCAGGCCAAGTGGCACGATGGGCGGGAATGCAAGCACGCACGCAAGCAGCAAAAGACAAGCAAGCAGCCAGATAGCGAGGGAAGATCTACAGACTCGCACTCTCGAAAAACTAGTTTCTTCTTTTTTACCACATTGCCTCTTTTTTTTTTTTTTTTAACGGGCTGCCGGCCAGTTGAGTAGTGAAGCGAGTGGCAGGCCAAGTAGCACGATGGGCGGGAATGCAAGCACCCACGCAAGCAGCAAAAGACAAGCAAGCAGCCAGATAGTGAGGGAAGATCTACAGACTCGCACTCTCGAAAAACTAGTTTCTTCTTTTTTACCACATTGCCGTTTTTTTTTTTTTTTACCACATTGCCGGTTTTTTTTTTTTTTACGGGCTGCCGGCCAGTTGAGTAGTGAAGCGAGTGGCAGGCCAAGTAGCACGATGGGCGGGAATGCAAGCACGCACGCAAGCAGCAAAAGACAAGCAAGCAGCCAGATAGTGAGGGAAGACAAGGTACCAATGGGCCGTTGATCTCAGTTGGTACACTCATGAACTGTTCACATACAGACCTATTAAGATTTAAATTTTAAAAAAAAAGAAAAAAAAAAAATTGAAGCAAGAGAAGACGAGGCAAGTGGGGTGTGACAAACATGTGTCTCATGCGGATCCCTGGATCTTGGTGGTGGTGTAAACCTGCAGTCTATAGAGTGGTGTCTGGGGTTTCCGGTAGGCCCTCTAACGGGCGAAAAGTATCGGGGGTACCCTGAAAAACCTCCTAGGCGCCCCTAAAAAAAAGTCAACTTTTTGAAAAGAGGGCCGTTCCGGACCCACCGGACTGGTACCCGGATCCAGACACCCAGTCCATCTGGATCCCGATCCAGACGTCAGGCTGGTTACCATGGAGTTTAACCCTTCCCTTAACCTTTTTCTTTTCCTTTTTTACCTTTTTTTTTCCTAGGCTACAAGAGTGGCCCGGGCCAAGTTGCGCAGCCAGGCAGAAAAAAAAATAATAATAATAATTTTAAACTCATTTGTCCCCATGGCAACACATACCCAATAAAAGCTGTTACAATCATTAATAATAAAAAAAGACCACTCCAAGACACCACACTAATTCTCGTGGACTGGCATTACTCCCATAATAAAGACCACGGAAAATATGAAGATAAACCACAATGTAATGACCCGCCATAACACAGACTGAGAACACTGCTGATTTCTGAAGTTCTGCTGATGGAATGAATGCCTTGCTGAGATTCCCGCATTCTGCTGTGTTTTCTAAGTCTGTATGTGTGCGTGCCTGTTGACTTGCGTGCCTGTCTGAGTGCTTGTCGGCATTAGTGTGTGTGTGATCCGTAAGGGTACTTGCTTGTTTGGCAGGCCCGTAGGGCCGGTACTTACCTGTGGCCGTGGCATTGAGGGTTGCAGCTGGGAAAACACTCAAGTAGCGGAGCCAGGGGCCCGCGGTGCTTAGAGCAGCGGAAAAACACTTAAGTAACAGGTAGGCCGGTACCGCACCCAGTAGCAGTAGATGTGCTGGGTACTCGAGGCCGAGCAGAAGAAGACAAAGTTGGCATTTTTAGAGGCCCAGTAGCGGTAGGCTAGGTCTAGGCCGGTACCAGTCCATCCAGTCTGAGTCTAGAGCCTGTACGGGCAATATCAGAGTCTGCAATGATGTTTCCCTCCGAAAGGGAGGAGGTACCGGTTGCTTGGGAGGCAGAGCGGCTTGGAAGTCACCGCCCAGGAGGCAAGTAGGCCGCTATATCAAGAGGCCGAGGGAAGATCCCGGCCTCATTCTTCAGTGTGCAAGTTTTGCGACACGCTGCTGGAGCGCTGGCTGGAGGAGCGCTGGCTACCACAGCGCTGCTGGGAGGAAGAAGCCCGGGAGCTTCCACCTTGGCTATGGTGGAGCTCTACCAGTAGGAGGAGGAGGGAGAAGAGGACCAAGGAGGAGAGTGGCGAGGTACCTACCTGGCTATGGTGGACACCATCTTCATCACCTTGTTAGGCGCTGCATCTGGAAGGCCCCAGTTGGGGTAGTGCCGCATCAAGGAAGCTCGGGACAGAGTCAGGCATGGCGGCTGAATGGGCAGCGGCATAGCTGCCTGGTGTTGACCTTGGGACAGGAGGGCAGCGACTTAGCTGCTTTGGACAGGAGGGCAGAGCCATCAGTACTCCGCCATAGCCTCGGCCTACATGAAGAGGAAGAGGAAGGGTGGCCATAGCTATGGTGGACCTCATGTTGTGCCTGCAGTAGAAGAGGGATTCGGACATTGATTCTGGTTCAGCCATTCAACATTATTATTGTTATTTCTTGTTTGAATAAGTGGGGAGGAGATAAGGAGGAGGAGATTGGTTGGCGAAGAAGAAGAGCATTATCTTTGGTCTATGCTGGAGTACATCATCTTCTTCATCTTTCTTTCTTCTTCTTCTTCTTCTTCTTCTTTCCCTCTCTCTCCTCTCAAGTTCATTCATTTCTTTTTGCAATTGGACGGCATTGTACTTTCTGATCTTTGTATACTTCGGAATTGGCCAGGATCGTAACAACAATAAAGAATAGAGTGAAACTTTCACACCCTTGGTGATTACTTGAGTTCTCTCCGAACCGTACGAGATAGTCACCTATCATACGGCTCTCCAACTCAACTTACGATTAGGATAGATAGATAGATATTTCTGGATAAAGGCCCCTTTCTCCACGAAGTGGGCGATGTTGAGTATAGCCTTATTATCAGACACTTGGGCGATGTTGAGTATAGCCTTATTATCAGACACTTGGGCGATGTTGAGTATAGCCTTATTATCAGACACTTCGGCGATGTTGAGTATAGCCTTTTATTATCAGACACCTTGCCCGGCCAGGCAAAAAATAATAATAATAATAATATTTTTATTTTTATTTCAAATTTGGCAAAGAATTTCGATGTGACCCTGAGGGAAAAGATATTCAAATTTGTTATCTAGAATCGTTGACTGTCAGTGTAGTGTGGACAGTGAGATGCTATGGAGAAGAGGAAAAGAAGGATAGTGTGGACAGTGAGATGCTATGGAGAAGAGGAGAAGAAGGATTTGTGCCCTTGAAACAGTCGTGGCATGAGCTGTGCCTGGCCGGAGAGCCTCGCTCAGCTCAGAGCTGCGGCGACTTTTGTAAGCGACGCCGGGCCCGCTTCAAGGCTTCCATATTAATAAAGACTGATCTTCTTCTTCTTCTTCTCAAAAAAAAAAAAAAAAAAAAAATTCAAATTTGGCAAAGAATTTCGATGTGACCCTGAGGGAAAAGGTATTCAGTGTATTTTTGTGAAAGAATTTCGATGTGACCCTGAGGGAAAAGTTATTCAGTGTACTTTTGTGCGTCACATAGTTCATTTTTTCAGATTTTTTTGGATTTCTTTTTTTTCTTTTTTTTCTTGCTGGGCTCTTCGCTGGTCGTCGCATGGCCGGCCCGCCCGATCAAACAAGGTGACCCGGGCGTCCCGGCTGGTAGCCCAGTTATTTTCCTCCTCCTGAATTTTTTTCCTTGTTTTGTTTTTCTTTTTGTAACAGGGTTCCTCCTCCAGGGGTTTATGTCATAACCAGTGCAGACCTGTACAGATTGATGTACCCTCTTGGGCCTGACGTATATGCGGCCAAAGGAAAGAAGAAGATGAGACCAGAAGAATTAACGGTAATGTTCCAGTCTTCCAGATGACATCGCTCTGTCGCATATTTCCCTCTTTCACAGCCACCTGCTCCCTCCCACCTCTTCCCATTTCTCTAGCCCGCTTTTTTTTTTTTTTTCTTTTCTTTTCTTTTTTTTCACAGCCACCTGCTCCCTCCCACCTCTTCGCATTGCCCGCTTCTTTTTTTTTTTTTTTTTTTTTTAACTTGTTTTTTTTTTTTAAGATGGCCTTGTCTTATTAAGTTATTACCATCGGACTAACCTGGGGCGTGGAGTCCTGGAGGCTGGACCCACTCTGATTTTTTTTTTTTTTTTTTTTTTTTTTTTTTTTTTTTTTTTTTTTTTTTTTTTCCCCTCTTTTTTTTTTTTTTTTTACGATAGTCTGATTTTTTTTTTTTTTTTTTTTTTTTTTTTTTTTGGCAGTGGGGCAATTTCCCGCCCACCGGGATGTGCCGAAATCGGGCCTTCTCTTTGAATTTGTTGAGGGTGTAGTCTTCCGGGGTTACCAGGCCGGGCCGCCCGGGTTGTCTCAGATTATCAGGTCCAGGGCCCAGGCAATGTCCCAGTCAATGCCTCAGCTTGTCCCAGTGGAAGAAAAATATATATATTTTTTTCTTCACATCTTTTTTTTTAAGGGCGATGGCCTTGACGTATTATCATCGGACTAACCAGCCCAGGTAAATTCAATATTGTGTCTAATCTGACATCGGGTGGCCTTTTCAGCCCAGGGTGGCCTTTATTTATTGCCTTCAGGGAACCCCCAATGGGGGGTGGGGGGCACCAGCCAGGGGACAGCCGGTAGCAGAGGGACCGAGCATCATCTGAGTGGCCAGTCGCTATGCCTGCCTCCCTGATTACCCCTCCCTCCCCCTATGAACATCAGCAGAGACTGCTTTTTTTTTTTTAATGCCAATTGGGGGGACCAACGGGCTATCTCTAGGTGGCGGGCGCCAAGCACGCCCAGGAAGGGGTACATGAGGAGGCCAATGGGGATTGAACCCAAGACCTCCTGAATGCCACTTGCATGCCTTACCAACTGAGCTAGGCCGCTGGATAGGATAGTTTTTCCAAACAACTTTTTGCCTGAAGAAAAAAGGGAAATTAAAAAAATCTGAGGAAAAAAAAAGAAAAAAAAGAAGAGACTCAGGAAATAGCAAATACCAATTAAACAGAAAAACGAAAAGAAAAGAGAAGACGTGTAACAGAAGGACAGTTTGCCTTTTGGTCTGATTATCTCGTGGTTCTTTTTCTTTTTTTGTGTGTGTCTACGATCGTCAGAAACTCGTCAAGACCTGGCATGACAAGATGCCCATGCCACTTCCCACAACCAGCAGTCAACCGCCTCCCTCCTCCATAGCAGGCGGCGATCCCGCGGCAGGGCTGTCAGGAGCAGGAGTTCAAGGGTCAGGCGCGCAAGCACTTATCAAGCCAGAGAAGTCGTCGGAGGGTCAAGCGTCGAGCGCGGAAGGATCTGCGACTCCCAAGGACAATGCGAAACAGGGTGGGGGCATTTTGCCAGATCTAAAGGCCAGGCTTCTTGCAAAACTTGCGGACGCCGCAGCTGATGGAAAGACGGGAAGTCGGGAGGAAAAAGCCAAAGCAGGCCGCAAAACGCCGGACAAAAAACCCGGAAGTCGGGACGAGAATGCCAAAAAGGGACGATCGACCCCCGGCAAGAAACCTGGAAGTGGAACCCCCGACAAGAAGGGTGGAAAAGGACGCGCGACTCCGGATCGAAGCGCAACACCCGACAAGAAGGCCGGAAAAGGAAGTGCAACACCCGACAAGAAGGGCGGAAAAGGACGAGGAGCACCCGATCCGAGAGAGGAAAAGCCTCTCGATCCAAAAGAGATCGTTTATCCTGAGCACATCCTGCAGGTTGTCGATGCAGAGGCAGTCCGTGACGTGCTGCTTGCAAACTACCTAACGAAGGAACCCCACACGCAGCTGCGCCAAAGTGAGGAGGCAAAAAAGTTGCTTAATGATGTGAGCAACGAGACCAAATAAGTGTTCGTTGTGAAAACAGCGAAGGCTATTTTCTGCAGTACGATTGGTCGATGACATTTCGTTTTTTGCCAAATACGATGGACGTTCTTCTCTCGCAAAAGTGGATGGCGAAAAAGGGCTATTTTCTGGAGTACGATTGGTCGGTGACGTTGTGAAAACAGCGAAGGCTATTTTCTGGAGTACGATTGGTCGATGACATGTTGTTTTTCGCCAATTTGAAATACGATAGACATTCTTCTCTCGCAAAATTGGACGAGGAAACACGCTTGCCTCTTCTCTGGCAATCGCGCCGACAGTGAAGACAAGCTCCAGTGATACGTGGGATTGTTTCAGCCCCTCTGTTGCGTTCCATAACATGAACCAAGGTATTATGTGCAGTCGCTCACGAAAACTCACAAGAACGAGAGTCGCCGGGCCTCGCTGCACTACTCTCCAAATGTGCAAAATGAGAATGAATCTTCCGCTAGAACATGCAACGATAGGCCGCCATTTTTTTCATCTTTTGTGCATGTGGAGAGTAGTGGAGCGAAGTCCCATATCCACTAAAGGAAACATGCAACAATAGACCGCCAGTTTTTTCATCTTGTGTGCATATGGACAGTGGAGCAAGGCCCATACTCTTGATGAAGTTGAGCTAGAGTTTGACAAGATGGAAGATAAGGGTATACCTTTTTTTTTTTTTTTTTTTTTTTTTTTGAACAAATGCTCCAGTCTATTCGTGGGGAGCAGCAGCGGTCACTTGAACCCATTTTGTAAAGGGGTCTAACAGAACTCTTCAGCGATGCCACACCTTTTCCTAGAAGGCCCAATTTTCTCAAACTGACCATAAGGGACAGATCTGGAACTCGACTGATATATGTGTTGACTCCAACATCATCTGTAGCCAGGTTGAGACCCCGCCTGTGAGGATGGTCAGCTGGGTCAACTAGCTGAAATGCGGCGTCACAGCATGCCATTTCACGCGACCAGGCTTTGATGGTTTCTAATGATTCTGTTTGCATGTGGTCCGCCCTATACACGTCTGTTGCATGTGGTTCGCTGTATGCGTGTCTGTCTTCACGTTAATATTTTGGCACACAACGTGCACTCTATCTCCTTCTTCTTCCCTCCTCCTTCCTCTTCTTCGCCTCTTTGTGTGTCTCCTCTGTGTGTGTGTGTGTGTGTGTGTTAGATTTTCCCCACAACAGCCCAAATCCACCCAGGTGAATAGATTCAGAATCAAAGCAGTCTGTCCTATTGCAGACAACGAGAGCATTTGAGATGTCCAACATATTAAAGCAATTTTATAATTAGRCAGTTTTTTGGTTGTCCTTGGGGTACCCCTTTCATTGTTCTTGCAGCTCCCCTTTTACTATGCCTCTTACGCACAAGGCTGCCCACGTTGATTGTGGTTGAGTAAAAGGGAAGGTATGCTCCTGTGCATCTCTTCAGAGCTTCATACTCCTGTTCATTTCACTTCGGATCTTCAGCTTAATATACAGTCTTTGTGTCCGTCCTTCATCTTCATACTTCCGTTCATTTCATTTCTGATCTTCATATATCGTCTATACTCTTAATGATGCTCATTCGTATGTGTTCGTTAGTAGTACAAAGGGAGTGGAGGGGAGGGTGGAGGGTAAGGGGTAGAAGGCGGAGTTCTCCAGGACTATGGGGCAGGGGAGGTAGGGGCAACGGGAAGGAAAGAAATATGCGGAGGGCAGGATCGAGTATGACATGCAAAGAGCAGGGGAGTGGCCACCCCTACAGACCGGACAGGACCGGTTCGGGTGTGGGCTATGGAAGCACCGCATCCAATTTTCGCAGTCACAGTTGCTGCATCGAATGGCACGGTGCAGACAGATGTCACAGGCTACGTGGCTCGTACATGCTAGGAACACTGAGGCATGTCAACCGCAATTATAGAGTCATTGCCATTCCAGCCCCTGTCTACGAGTTGGACATGACATGTCGGGGTGCCGTACATGAGTACAGTACTGACTGTCCTCGTACGTATGGAAGCAAAAACTCCCATGGACTATACCTTCATAATCCTCACGGCACAAGGCATGTGAGGCACATGCTAGTTGAATCACCGGCGGGTCATCACAAAACGGCATGGAGCATCTTTCTTGGGCTTCCTCAGTATGTATTCCTTCTCTATGGGCAGACCACGACAAGGAGGATCGGTCCAGTGCAAGGGCATTCAGCTGCTGCAGGATATGATCCGCAACCGCTCGCCCTGGCGGAGATAAACTATGAGCACATCGCTCTGCCGGTGGTTCATATAGAAGTCTATTTTCCTCCTCGGACTGCAGCTGTGTTCGTCGTTCGTCTGGCAAGAAAGAGGGAGATCCGTCAGTGGTTGCTGTAGGTGTATGACCAATACCGCATGTGGGACATGCTAGGAGAGCAACACTAACACCGGCGGGGAAGTGTTTTTGTTAAAAAAAAAAGAAAAAGAAAAAAAAGAAAAAAAAAAGAAAAGGAAAGAAAGGAGAGGATGTGGAGGGTGACGGCACCGGGGATAGTCCACGTAGTAAAGACACATACTTTTCTATGACAGCTTCCTGGAAGCATTGACGACACATGGCATGTTCAATCGAGTGGTATTTTCATGGAAATTTTATTTATTGCTGAAGGTTTTTTATGGAAAATAACTGCAGTTCCTTTTCATATGACGACACATGGCATGTTGCTTGCTGACATGTCATTAGTATGGAAGGCTGACGTGCACAGTTAATTAAGCATGGCATATCAAGGCCACAACGGCATGTTGGGCAAGTAATCAGGGGGTGGGGGGGATGAGCACAGGACTGGGGATCACAATTTTGGTGTGAGAGTCTAGCAGCGACCATCCCTTCATAGTGTTCGTAGCAGAGGCTATGTCGTGTACATGCCAACCGAACTGCACCTGTGCGACGGCACGACGGGAGGGCGCAGCCATCATCCTGTGGAGAGGTCCTTTCACTGTTTGTGGTAGAATAAGCAGGATTGCTCTCCGGGGGGTGCAGTGCTTGCAAATGATCATCGACATACTGTTCCTGATGGATGAACCATACTGAGTGACTCTCCAGCATTTGGTGATAGAAAGAGTTAATATTTCCCACTGTGTGCAACCTACCGCCATTGTCCCATAGGGTCCATGAATAATCTGCAAAGGTAAGCGCATTGAAGTGACCTGGACGATATAAGATATATGCCGGAATATTCGGATCCGTGCCTGGCTCGTGGTTTTGCGGAGCAGGCTGGAATTGCAGTCGCCTACCCATAAATGCCATGATAGCCAGGACTTCACTCGTCTGAGCAGATGACACGGTGCTCTTCTTCTATCCAGCGAACAACGTCTGCGAAATCAGCGACAGAATAAGGATTGCAATTGTAAGCAAGGAGATATACGTTAATGGCATAGTACGCACAGCGCCCTCGCTGTAGCACTATGACATTGTCTGATTCCGCAGGTTGCGTGGGGGATGTGTGTGTGTGTGTGTGTGTGTGTGTGTGTGTGTGTGTGTGTGTGTGTGTGTGTGTTTTCAATTCAGCATGGTCTAGCGGAAAATTGGCCTCGCTCCACGACTCACCACATGGTGATGCATCTTCCCATGTTCTAGCAGAAAATTCATTCTCAATTTGATTACAGTTTCGCACGTGAATGATGACCACATGCACGTAGGCAAACAACGAAGCACCAAGTCCAGTAGCAGGTGGGCCCAGTCTATCGTCTTCACCCAAATAGAGCCCTCGGTCATTCGAGGTCTCTATTTGGGGCAGTTTTTGCACTATGCACAGCTATAATGACTTATACGTTCTATTCGGGGTAAATACAGTAGCAGTCCTCAGACGAATAAAGACAGTAGCAGTCCTCAGACGAATAAAGACAGTAGCAGTCCTCAGACGATGGCAAACGGGCAACTTCCGAGACAAAAAAAAGAAAAAAAGAAAAAAAGAAAGACAGTAGCAGTCAGGCAAGCAGGCTCCAGCTAGGTTACCAATCAAGCAAGGCGGCGGGGCAAGCACACCAGAGGGGGGGGATGTAGGTGGAGGTGGGTGGGTGTGGGTGGGTGTATGCAGTGGGTAGCTGTCTGTGTGCGTGTGACCCGGGCTTAGCACGAGGCAAAAAGGCAACAAGGCAGGGCATGCGTAGGAACACGATAATGCATCAAATGACAAGACAATCAGGAGGGCAACAAAGCAGGGAGAGAGCAAAGCAGTGGCGCAGCACATGAAGCAGCAAGGAACAACGCGGCAATGCAGGCAGCAGCATGACACATCAGCGGCAAGTCAACAGGGCAGCAAGCACCCAACAGCAAGCAACATAAGGAGGAGGGCACGGGAGAGGTGGCTGGGAGGGGAAGAGGGTGATCAGCACAAAGGCAAAACGACAGCAAGGTTAAACTAATGGGCAAGGAAGCAAGCAACGTAGGGCGGACGGCACGGGGAAGGTGGGTGGGGAGTATATGCCAGCAAGGCAGCAGGGAAGCATCAGGAAGACACGACCGAAGCACACGTGGTTAACCAGGTGTGTTATTTTGACGAATTTCGCACCGAATTGCACTGAAACTGTCGTTAACCGTCTCTCGACCGAAGGGCGGACGGCACGGGGAAGGTGGGTGGGGAGTACATGCCGACAAGGTGGTCAACTCATACAACACAGACCAAAGCTGAGGAGGGGAGGGGGGGGGAGGAAGCGGGGGGCGGGGGAAGGTGGTCCAAAGCAGACCATCGATTCCTTAACACGAGGAAGGGTGGGTAGGTTCCTTTTTTTTTTTGGGGGGGGGGTATGGTTCTGCCCCATATMCCCCCCCCCGCCCCAACAACAAAGAGAGAAACCCAAACCCTAGAAACTGTTGGTTCCGGAAGTCACTCGCTGCAAAGACTCTAGCTCGTTTGTGAAAGGGGATCACTGGGAATAGCAAACCCTTGGTTGAAACCCGACCGTGTCCCTGATATACAGCTGAACAGAATACTCGTGAAGCTGAGATGGTGGTGGGATAATTGCCCGGACATGTTCGGCAAGAAAGGTCGAATCCGCTACCAGATCGCACAACTTCTTCCATCGTACAACGGCATCGAAAATTGTATGTGCCAGGACATTGAGGAAACCAGGCCGCAAAGTGGCAACAGCATCAGAAGCGCACTGCAGTCTTGCCAAACTGATGGAGAGTCGTGTGCTTGGAGGGAAGCTTAGTCAGATTACACACCTATCTATTGGGTCGTTGGTTCGATTCCAACCTAGGGAGCTGTTCTGTGTTCAAATATACGGTCGACCCGAAAACTGCAACCCCCCTAATGGTGTTATGGGCACTCCAGACAAACAGGCAGCGACTGTTTGGCACACTCCATACAAACAGGCGGTCGACCCCGAACGCTGCAGCCCCCCTAATGGTGTTATGGGCACTCCATACAGGCAGTGACTATTTGGCACACCTTGAAGGTGCTCAACTGTGGGACGAAATGTATTTGATCCATATAGGACAGAAAAATACGACCCCCCCCCCCCCCAAAAAAAAAAAAAAGGTCAAACTGCTCAGCAAGTGAACCGACTTTCACCATCTCATCAGGAGAAATGATATGTGGGACGAAACGTATATCATCCACAGACTCTTTCGTCTGGTTTTCACCATCTCATTAGGAGAAAACATACGGATACAATACATTTTGTCCCACATATCATTCCTCCATAAGACCATATAATCGCTACAAATGATAAAGGTATGTATCCCATTCTCCATTCAGCACACATGCTTTATTGCAGTTTATTCATGCATCTTAAATTCTTAATGCATCCCGAGTGCCCACATATCATTTGTAACCGACTTTCTTTTTGTCAAGTTCATAATCCAGACCGTTGGGAACTTACCACTTCACCACTTGTCTTCCGTCAGGCATATAATATATTGATTTTCGATTCCAATATCAATTTTCGATTCCAATATCAATTTTCGATTCCAATATCGATTTTCGATTCCAATCCGGTCAAGTCAGTTGGTTTGGCCAAGCATATGGTCGCTTTAAATGGACGATACTATACATAATACGATAATCGACTGTGTCAAAGAGAATTGTGCCCTTGGCCTTGTGTGAGAGTGTACTCGCAAAGCCATCCATCAGTCACGAACAGACGTAGGAGCAAACCATATCGGCAAACAGCCTAAATCAGTCAATCATTCGTCAATATCCACAGACCATGCATGCATGACGACCACCGACGAAGAGAAGAAACATCCATGCCAACAAATAGAATTGACACATCGATGTCTCCCGAACGCAACAGAAGGAAGAAAAGAATTGACACATTGATGTCTCCTGACACTTGGCCTTGGCCTTAAGCTGTGTGTGGACTTACAGCAATGGCTATGTACTTAGTAACTTGGGTAGTACCATCTGATTTTCAACATGGTGGAAATTAACAAGCTGCAGGGACATGTCCATAATCCTGGCATCACTCCGCTCACCAAAGCAGACGCTTTGTGTCTGCTCTCTCGCCAGAGTCTCCACCAACTCGTCAGGAGGCCCCACTGTTTCGTCCGAATTTGATTGTGTGTGTCTGTGTGTGTGCGTGTGTGTGAAGAAGACTCTTTTGTCCGACTTTCACACAAGACATAACTCCACAAAAAACAAAAGCACAACTGTGCCAGACTATTTTGTCGGACTTTAACCAACTCGTCAGACTGTTTCAACCGAATTTGATTATGTCAGACTATTTTGTCAGACTTTCTGTCTCGTCCGATTTTGATTATGCGTGTGTGTGTGTGTGTGTGTGTGCATGTTCACAGGACATAACTTCACGGAAAAAAAAGCACAGGAGGCCAGACTGTTTCATCCGAATTTGATTGTGTGTGTGTGTGTGTGTGTGTGTGCGCGCGCGCGTTGCCTGCTCTGTGTGGCTTGTACAGTTTATGGGGGCAGCATCCAGGCTGTGTAGGCATATGATTCTGACTTGTCATTATTCATAGATTCATATTAATAATCTGTGTGTATGTATGTGCCTTTTACATTTAAGTTACTATAATCATTTTCATTTTCATTTTCATTCTCAAACAAGTTACTATCAAGCAAGTTCATTGGAAGACTAGTAGCTCATCTACTTATACATCCCATATACCAGGAGTGACGAGGCGGCTATGTCGGATAGAGGATGCAATAGTACAGCTCGTGGCAGAACAGTTATGGCACACCTCCACATCTCTCATGTTGTATTCTATACAGCACGTCAGTCTTCACGCAGAGGCACATGCGCCACACATACACAAGGCGAGAGAGAGAGAGAGAGAGAGAGAGAGAGAGAGAGAGAGAGAGAGAGAGAGAGAGACAGAGAGTACTGCTTCAAGCTCAAGAGATCCAACCATAGTTGCAAAAAAATGGGATAAGTGAAAGGAGGTGATGTATAGATGGAGCCTACAAACTCTTGGCACCCGTCACTGTTGCCATTTCGCCTGTAGCAAACTACATAGCTTTCTCCATTCCACAGCAAGAGAGAGAGAGAGAGAGAGAGAGAGAGGCAGACAGAGTACTGCGTCTAGATCTACTCGATAGATCCAAAGTTCTCAAAGCCAAGAGCCCGCCTCACCCATCTAGTGAGACCCTCAAAACTCTTGCCCCTTGTTTCCTACTTCTAAGTTCTGAAAACTCCATATAGTGGGCAAAATCCCTGTATCAGACCTTGGGCATTGACCAGATTCAGCAAAACTGTGGATTCACACTCATCATCTTATGTTCTGAGAAATACCTACCTCCTCCTAAGATTGGCAGTGCCAAGGAGTACGACGAGGTAGTGGGCAAAATCCCTGTAACCGACCTTCGGCATTGACCAGATTCAGCAAAACTGTGGATTCACACTCATCATCCTGAAATCGACAAATTTTGAAATTGACAAGTTTTGAATTCGACAAGGTCAGCAGCACTGCCGCAGCAGTTTCAGCATCGTAGTATCCGACCTTGGGCATCGACCAGATTCAGCAAAAAATATTAGTTGCTTTCAACCTGATTCAGCACTGCAGTCAAACTCCGCAACACTTCCACGTTACATCTCTCAGTCAGAATGCCAGTGCTGCTGGACTTGTCAGATCGAGAAATGAATAAAATTTAGATAAAACCCCTAAAATAGGGTCCCAAAAATAGACCCCTAAAATAGGGCCCCAAAAACAGACCCTACAGGAAGTTTAAGATTGTCCCACGAAGAGGACTGGTGGGGGGGGGGGGGTTGGAATAAGACTTGGGTCCGTTCCCCCACCACATCCGTAATTAAATGTGCTCATCCTGCTAGAAAATGAAAACTGATAGGTTGGCTGCTTCGACATCTAGCTACTTATCAAAAAAAGGAATGCTTAAAAAAAGTTAAAAAAAAGGACTCGTGTTTTCTAAAACAAAAACGGCAAAGCAGAGGACGAATCGCCCCGGTGTGACAACAAACAAGTGAAGTGAAAATTACCCTAACAGAACGGCCGCTCACTCTTCATATCACATAGAATATGACATGGAGGAGGACTTTGCAGGTCCAACAAGCGGAGAAGAATTGATAAACCGAACAAAATTTGCAAGAGATGCCCTGCATTAGTCAGCAGGGGAAGTTTGTTGCGACTTCTGACGAGCTTCGCAAAACCTGCGCTCCCTCCGCCGATCGATCACTGGTGACCGGAGCATGAAAACCATTCATCAGCCACATGACACACAGGTGGGATGAGCTCAGCGAAACCCGCGCTCCCTCCGCCAATCGGTCAGCGTGAAACCCCTGTAGTCTGACAAGTTTAGCAAAACCTGCGCTCCCTCCGCCAATCGGTCACCCCTGTAGTCTGACGAGTTTAGCAAAACCTAAGTTTGGCAAAACCTGCACTCCCTCCACCAATCGGTCACCCCTGTAGTCTGGCGAGTTTAGCAAAACCTGCGCTCCCTCCGCCAATTGCTCACCCCTGTAGCTGTCTCTTATACACATCTAGATGTGTATAAGAGACAGGTGAAACCCCTGTAGTCTGACAAGTTTAGCAAAACCTGCGCTCCCTCCGCCAATCGGTCACCCCTGTAGTCTGACGAGTTTAGCAAAACCTAAGTTTGGCAAAACCTGCACTCCCTCCACCAATCGGTCACCCCTGTAGTCTGGCGAGTTTAGCAAAACCTGCGCTCCCTCCGCCAATTGCTCACCCCTGTAGTCTGACGAGTTTGGCAAAACCTGCACTCGCTCCGCCAATCGGTCGCCGGTGACCGGAGCATGAAAACCATCCATTCCCGCCAAATTCACGCTGATGTAGTCGAGTCGATCGCATGCTTTTTAAAACACACGCCGATCGATCAGTCGATTGCGTTTTTGTTTACAGTTTAAACTTAACTCGTGCTCATGTAGTGATCGAGCACACGGCTTTTTGCAATGCCGCGTGGTTGATGAAATGCATGCTATGCTGATGTACCCGATCACATGTTGTTTTTTGCGATTCCGAAGCTGAAGCAAAGTTCCAAGTAAACGTATGTCGTAGTCTCCTAAGGCCCCTCAATCCCGAGCGTTCGTGATTTCTCAAAATCAATGCATGTCGCCAAACTCGCCACTCACGAGTTGCAATACCAGTTTTCTCCGCATAACAGGCATAGGCATTGTATTGTCAGCACGCTTTCTGATTACCACCTCACCTGATCACTCATCGACAGTCAGACTCTGAGTAGAAAACGATGGAAGGCTCCAATATGCCAAAATCTCGCACAGCGTGCATCTGCATCGGATCTTAAAGCATGGAAGATTGCTCTCTGAAGAGACGAAAGATAGCACCAAAAGGGCAATCTTCTCCGCAGACTTCGCTTGCACCCAGTCTAAGATTTCTGGAAGAGAATCCTATTACCAGCATGCTCCTCGTGAAACGGCCCCCTTTCCTGTGTGACCGATTACTGTGCTCACTCTTCTCAGATACAAGAGAGTGAATGGAGGCAGAGGGAATAATAGAGTCCCATTGCATCTGCTGTGCCTTGATGAAAAGAGAACGCGACCTGACTGAACAGAGCCGAACAGAGTCGGTAGAGATCGAACAGAGTCGGTAGAGACCGAACAGAGTCGGTAGAGACCGAACAGAGTCGGTGGAGATTCTGTGGTACCGCGGCACCTGTGCTTTTTCATCCAGGCAACTTGGGTGTGGCGAGCCTGATATCAAATCATCACACGAGAAAAGGACGGGAAAAAAAAAAAAAAAAACAAAAAAAAAACAAAACAAAAAAAAACAAAAAAAAACAGGTAAGTCCAAGCTAGTTCAGCAGGTTTCGGTTCTGATTAATAAGCAGCAGACAGCAGGATCAAATCCCACCGGCCACTGGAATAGCAAACACAAAAAACCCGAGGTATAGTAGTAAAAAAAAAAAAGCACAAGGTAAGTGCAAGAGCTGTTCAGAATATTGTCAATTCATTTCACTGTTGAGTAGTGAGGGGTAGCAATATCAGCCTTTCACAAAAACCCCTTCCGCTTCCCTCTCTCTCTACACACACACATTGGCTTGTGGAATAGCAAGTATCACAGTACCACACTGTCAGACTGTCATCTCTCTCAAGTATCGAAGTACCACACTGTCACCTCTCTCTCTCTCTTGCTCTCTCTCTCTCAATTCAAGAAACTGTTGAAGAGTTACGACAATCTCTCTCTCTCTCTCTCTCTCTCTCTCTCTCTCTCTCTCTCTCTCAAGTATCAAAGTACCACACTGTC